AAAAAAAAAGAAACTATTGGCAATTATCAGATATACCTTTTAGTTCATGCTGTACACGAATTTTGGAGACGGCATTTGGTGAATAAAGCAAAAGATGATTGATCAACCGAAGACACTCACAGAGCAGTTCAGTGTTTTCAGATTGATGCAATTCAGCGGCTACCGGTTCCAAGCAATAATTGGCTCCAATAATATCCTTAAAATAATTCTATATTTAAATTGTTTTACTACATATTTTCCTCAAATTTAAAAATAATGATTAGCATTGATTTTGTTGATGATGACGATGATGATGACCGATGATAATGATGATGATGATGATGATGATGATGATGATGATCATCATCATCATCATCATCATCATCATCGTCGTCGTCATCATCATGACCCTTTTCCTTAAAATGTGGTTAACAAAAAATATTACATGTATAAAAAAAAGATTTAAATAACAATAATTCAGAAAAATTTGTTAAGCAACAATTTAAAGAATTTATTATCTATCATTTTATTATGTCTATTTGCCAAAAAAATGAAAAAGAACCTATTTTCCTATATTTTTTTTTCGTTTTTGATTTCACTCTTACCGTGCTTTTGCATTTTTTTTTTTTTAAAAAAGGGAGCTTATTTATCGTCATTTACTAATCGAATTTACAGTTAATTAAACATAGTTTTTTAGACTATAAATATTACCTGCCAACATGATAAACAGTCTATAACTGTATCGTAACCATTCGACAATGAAATCAGGCGATTTAACAGCTCAACAGTTTTTAAAGTATCAGCTCCTAAAAAACGAATGAAATGTATATAATTTTCTTGTAAATTTTTTTGAACAATTAAACGATTAAAAGTTTTCTTAGGTAAGAACTTTTTGACTTTACATTGGTTAGACGTAGCAGAATTGAATGGTTCGACAACAGTTTACAGTTTAACAGATTTCTGCTGACTTCAACTTAGTCACTGAAATTATGCAACAACTAAACTGATAGCAGCCTCAGTTATCATATGCAAGTTTCCACCATAAATTACATATGGTATGGCAACAAATTACCATTATTCTTGCCAAATGTATGAGGTATTTTAGGTTGTCAACCGTTATTCTGTTATGTATAGAGACCTTAAAAACCTGTCTTTTTTGGTACATATCAAACAACAAAAACTGAACAGAAAAACTTTAAAAAAAATGCAAAAACAAAGAACAAAAGAATTTTTGACTATGTATAAAAAAAAAAAAACAAGATTAACTTCAAAAACAGTACTTTACCTTCTCTTTATCTTTCAAAAAACTATTCTAATTATACCTGAAAACAACTGTTGTTTTCTTTGATCGGATTAAATATCATTTTATCGTTTATAAAACCTTTTTCTTGCTATTTTTGTAGTTGTCCTCTTGTTCCATTCAGATTTTATTAAACAAACTGACCGTAAAAACGGTAACTTTGAGGAAAAAGTGTTCATTGAAAAAAAAATTTATGTTGCAAAATAACAATGACTTTTTTTTTGCTTAAAAAACAAAAAAAGTGAAAAGATAATTTCTTTTTTGAATAAAAATAAAGCAGAATAAATAAACAAACTTAGATAATCTATGTAAACTAAAAAAAAAAATTTTTTTTCTTTTTTTGGTTGCTTACGAATGACTTGAGAAGAGAAAAAAAAAGTGATGATCTATGTTTACATCAAATTAACACAAATGTTTGTGAAGATTGTAAGTGGAATAAAAATTCCTTTTTTTTTCTCGTCTTCTTTTTCTTCATCTTTTTTCTTTCTTCTTTTTTCTGTTTTTTGTG